TATTTTGACTTTTTTTCTCTTCTTTCTAGTTGACCAGCAGACAAGTGAGGGTCGTCAGGAGACGCGGAGCTTAAGCCCTCACCACGGCTTTGACAAATCACAATTAAATGACTGCCCAAGAGATTCTGGCTGTTACATCTCATCAGAAAATTCAGATAATGGTAAAGAAGAAGTAGACCCAGAAACCCTGTCCAACATGGTGCAGTCAATAACAATCACTGAGTCAAACTGATTCAGTCCTGCTGCTTTTCTGCAGATTTTCAGAAAAAACAGAGTTGCCAGTACGAGGCACAAAAGCAGAACACAAAATATACTCAACACCAAAAATATACTTCTGTCTGATATGTGAAGCTCTACACTGTTTAATGTGTGGACATTTAATAACTAAATGTTAGCTGATAATATCGCATTCTTTTCTTTTGAGTGAATCCACAGACATTTCAATGAAAAAGGTTATATACATATGTATTTATAAATATTTGTACAGCAAATGCATTTTCTATAATAACAGAGAACTGGTTTAGGTAGTGGTACACAATCTGGACATTTCATTTCTGGAATTGTCCAAAATGTAAATATTATACATACTTATTTTAAAAAGGCATGGATCACACTGTCTCTATTTTCAGATGTGTTTTGCTGATATTTGTACAGAATGTATTGTCATTGATATCTCATCATAATAAAAAGGTGGATACATTCACATCCTATTTTGAAAAGTACCAAGCTAATTCTCATTAATATTAAAGCTGTTTCATACCATTCTTCTCCAAAACGGGCTCTAAAGTAGACTATTACCTCCTACGTTTTATCCTGGAGGTATGAAAGAACTGTAGTGTGAATCAGAATCAAACTCTCTGTGTTCATTATCTTTTAGAGAACATAGCCGTCTGACTGGCTTATGCAATTTCTTTACTGTTATTTTCACACCTGTTCTTCTCAAGCATTTTACAGAAAATACAAGCTTGGAGCAAAAAAAAAAAAAAAATCAGTATCAGTACTATGCTTTTATGATCATCTTTTGTGAAGCTCTTGCCTTTTGTACGTGGTGTAAACTTTGTTAATAGAGTATTTGTTTGTATACAAAACTCAGAAGCTAATATGCTTATTGTGCACTGTTGTCTTTCCTGTGAGATTTTATTGTCATTTCCCAGTATATTTTGCACTGGAATACACATTTTAATTGCCTGTCTTCTTTTAAAGTACTTCATTCAATAATAAAAGTAACCTTGTGTTTGAGCCCTTTAAAAACTACTTGATTTTTAATGTGGTCATTACATTTCAAAGACTGCTCTGTTCTAAGACTAACGCAGTAAATGGCAGCTCCTCTGAGCACTTTTATCATGTAAGATAATCTGTGTATCAAATCAATAGAGAAATTTTTTGCTCACTAATTAGTCACACAATTTTCATAATTTAAGGCGTTTTGCACTTATGTTGAAAATTTTCCACATATTGCTGACAGCTTAAAAGAAAATCACCTTCAGAAGAGATGAAAGACAGAAAGTTCCACCCCAAAAAGCGTATTTCTGAAGAAGCCATAAACAAATGGAAAGCTTTTCTTCTCCCCCACCCCCCCAATGGAAATGTTTTCTGTAGTTTTCGTGACCCCTCAAACAACTGCTGTCAGACTCCTAAGACACAGATCTGCTTTGAAGGCTATAGTATAAAAACAGCGATTTTAGAGAACTGCATTAACTAGATTTCAAACTTCTGGAGTAAATAAACTCTGTTTAGAAAAATAAACAGGAAAGGGAGATGCTAAGATTTGTTTCTGGTTTTAACTTACTTCTTACACTGGCAACAATTACCATCTTTTGGCAATTTGACCCCAAATTGCCAGGCACGGTGGGGATGCAGAATCCCTTGATGGGATGAAGTATATGAGAGCTTTTATCAAGTAGCTATATTTGTTTCTTAATCCTTTTCTAGCCAGTATTGTGTCATGACATGAAGTACTGAGTTTACTTAATATGACTTCAATAACTTCTGAAATAATGTATTCAGATTGGTTTCTATCATCATCTTATTCTAGAGAAGGGCTAAAGTCAGCCTGAATTCCTCTAATAGGGGCTTATCTTTTCACTGTTGTGGCAGAGGCACTTAAGTCTTCAGGTTACTTCTATCTGGACAGCCGTAAAGTTGCTGAGCCTGTAAAAGTATGTTGAGGTGAGTTTAAATATAATTATGACTGTCATGAAACAGCTAAATTAGCTGGCTCAAGGACTAACAACCCCAGACCAGAGATGTACCATGATAAAATACTCTGAGAAATGTTTATTTACATACGTTTGCACATGTAAATAGGCCTCTGCAATTAGTTACAGTGACAGGCAAGGTTTTCAACAGATGAAAATCCCCATCAGCTGCTATTCTTTCACAGGAATCAAACCCTGAATAACTTGGGCTGATGGCAAGAGGATAAAGGTGTAAAGTTAACTAAATGGTAACTATGGGCATTGAGCTGTGGTTTAACCACAGCTTTGTCCACACAAATCAGTAAGGCTTTGTCCAAACAGCTTCTTGATCAGAAAGAATGTGTTAACTGAAAGCTTGTTCAAGACATTTGTAACTTCCTGTGAAGGCAGAAAAGATTAGATCTCAAACTGAGAAACTTCCGTTCTCTCGAGCTATTCTGGGAAATAGGAATGAGGAAATTTTGTAACATGAAAAAAATATGAGTGTTTCCTACAAAAGCAACCTTCTTTCATCTCTCAGTGGTTTCACCAATCACACTGGTCGTGGACTAAACTGTTTGTACCAGCATAAACAGTTCTCCAACCAGCTTTAGTGCTGGGAAATCTGATCAAAAGGTAATTCTGGGGACTGTTGGAGAAAGTCCAGTGGAGATCTGAGCTAGTTTTGAGGGATCTTTAAAAGGTCCCGGAGACAAGGAAAACAAGCAAGCAGCAGAGGTTCTGTTCCTCTCTGCCACATGCTCAGTGGTGTCATGTCCCTTTTAATTTTACTAACCTTCCTCTGTGATTAAGGACTGTAAAGTTTGTAAGTACATCTCTTATTTGGAGAAAATTGAGAGCCCACTGCTCCCTGCAGCTACAGAGCATGCAAAAAGATGCAAGCACAGCCAGCAGCAGCAGACGGGAAGCTCATGATGCCAGCCCTGCTCTCCTTCCACCAGTGGGGATTTCCCCAGCCACAGCGGACCGTGGTGCAGGTGCAGCAGACTTCCCCCCAGGGCTGTGGCACTGGCTGATGGCACGTGCGCTGCCTGCGGCATAGAGCTGGTAACGCAGAAAGACTTACGTGACCCACAGAAAAATCCAGGTGGTGGCAGGTGCCCTCATCCCCAGGGAAGAACCGCCTCTGAAAGTTAACACCACTTTCAGCACTGTTGCCTCATGCTCAGCCCCATTTGACCGCTGTCCACAGCTGGCATCACATTAAAGGAGGGCTGCTCCACCATCAAAGAGGGTAGCAGAGTGCCAGACCTCGGCCCTGCGATCCATTTGACTGGCCTGCAGATCCCAGCAGTCAGCATCCTGCTCTCCAGGGTTTGTAATGAAATTTCTTCTTTTTTTTTCAAATTTTTCTCTTTCTTTTTTTTTTTTTTTTTTAAATTTCAGATTTCACTGACGAGAAGCTCAACATGAGCCAGCAGTGTGTGCCTGCAGCCAAGGACGCCAGCCGTATCCTGGGCTGCATCAAAAGGAGCGTGACCAGCAGGCTAACAAAGGGGATTCTTCCCCTATACTCCACGCTCATGAAACCCCACCTGCATCACTGCGTTCAGCTCTGGGGCCTTCAGCACAAGAGAGGCGTGGACCTGCTCAACAGAGTGCAGAGAAGGCCCCGAAGATGATCTGAGGACTGGAGCACCTCTCCTGTGAAGACAGGCTGAGAGAGCTGGGGTTGTTCAGCCTGGAGAAGAGAAGGCTCAGGGGAGACCTTAAAACAGCCTTCTAGTACCTAAAGAGAGACTACAAGAAATCTAGAGAGGGACTTTTTACAAGGGCATGTAGCGATAGGACAAGGGGGATGTTTTTAAATTGAAAGTGGGTAGATTTACAGAAGACACTAGAAAGAAATTCTTCCCTGTGAGGGTGGTGGACACTGGCACAGGTTGCCCAGAGAAGCTGTGGCTGCCCCATCCCTGGCAGTGTTCAAGGCCAGGCTGGATGGGGTTTTGAGCAAGCTGCTCTAGTGGAAGGTGTCCCTGCTCATGGCAGGGGGTTGGAACTAGATGAGCTTTAAGGTCCCTTCCAACCCAAACCATTCTATGATTCTTAAAATCAGTGGGTATAAATGCACCAGCGTAGAGGCCAGCAAGTATGCATTCATTTTGCTGAGGTGTGAATGAGCACATGAAGCATAAGGCAGAACATGGGCACACCTGTGGAAATTCTGGAGGAGAGTGATCTCCAAGGGGCTTGACTAATTACTGGCTGCCAGATGGACTTTGCAGCTCTCACACAACTCTCTGAGCCCAGCAGGTCAGCCAGTTTTCCACCCACTTTACTGTAAAACCCATTTATCTGTCTCATACTTCAGTCCTTCCACTGAGTGGCCAGTCTCTGCTGTGATGTGAGGAAGCCCACAGCTCACCAGCTATGATACAGAAGTGCCCTTTATATCATTGTGCTTGCTCCCAGCTAGTGGCTATTAAGACAATCTCTAGCAAGGACAGGGGATCTGCATCACTCTGGCGAAGGTCCTGGAAAAGAAGGCTGCTAAAGAGAGGATAAGGCAATATTGAAAGGAAAAAGCTGTTTGGGTGCTGTGAACCAGACAGACCAGTTTCTAGATGTCACTAAGTTCACAGGGTGAGTACAACCTGCCCCTTCCCTGGAAATCAGCTGTTTCATCAAGTCAAGGTCAGTACAGTTCTTTCTGCCCACAGATACACACATACCTACACACACACATGCCACAGACTCTTTCAGTGCCTTGGGTTACATCAGCAGCTTGGTGTCTGTCCTAAGACAGCCTTGATGGCAGTTTTGCAGCTGAGTCACATGTCATCATAGATGGCTTCATGTCAGAGGGAAGCAGTCCCAGCCAGTGATTCTGTCAAGCCTTGTATTTTACTTGGCCATAGGAAAAAGGCTTGCCTGTTCACTGGATGACCAACAAAAGTGGTGTGAAATTTTCTCCTGCCTAGAAAAGGCTAAGAAATGCCACTACAAACACATGGCAAAAGGATCTGGGGGGGATATAATACATTCAGGGAAACACAGCTGTTAAATCTATAGACACTTCATGTATGCATAATAAACAGCAGTCATTGCCATGAACCTGAATTTATTGGGAAATA